CATATACAAGGATTTGATGCTAGGATCCACAAATGAGGGAGAACACATGTTGTTTGTTTTTCTGACTCTGTGTTATTTCACTTAGTATAACAGTTTCTAGTTCCATCCATTTACCTGAAATTTTCATGATTTCATCTTTCTTTACTGCTGAATAGAAATCCATTGTGTAAATGAACCACATTTTCATTATCCACTTGGGACACTTAGGTTGCTTCCATCTCTTAGCATCACAAAGAGCCTATTCAGGCACTCTCAGGCCTAGTTCATATTTTTTGAAATACTACTTCATTTGCACTAACATTTAATTCTCTCTTTAAAAAAAAAGACTTGTTTTATTTTTACTTAATGTGAGGTTGGACTTATTTCAGTAAAAAATGCTCAAATAGCCGGGCGTGGTGGCGCATGCCTTTAATCCCAGCACTCGGGAGGCAGAAGCAGGAGCATCTCTGTGAGTTCAAGGCCAGCCTGGTCTACATAGTGAGCTCCAGGCCAGCTGGGGCTACTGGGAGACCCTGTCTCAAAAAAAGACAAAAAAAAATGCTCAAATAATTGAGACTGGTGAGATGGCTCAGCAGCAAAGCCTGATTACCTGAATTCAATCTCTGGAACCCACATAAGGGTGGAAAAAGAGAATCAACTCCAGTGATGTCCTCTGATCCTCACACATGCACTGTGACGTGCATACCCACACCCATGCACAACACACAATAATGGATAGGTAGATAAAAGTAAAAATAACTGCTCAAATAAAGGCCTGTGAAGTAAAGTGTTGATGTGACACACTTGGGGATCTGAGTTAGGGCCCCAGCACCCATGTAAAAAGCCAGGCACAGCCACGGTGCCTGTAATCCCAGAGCTGGGGAGGCAGAGACAGGAGGATCCCTGGAGCTTGCTGGCCAGCTGGCTTAGTCTAATTGGTGAGCTTCAGGCTCAGTGAGAGACTCTGCTGCAAAAACAAGATGGAGAGTGATTAAGGAAGACACCTGCCATCAGTCTCTGCTCCACACACACATGCATGTGTGTACACATACACCTGCACACACAAATGCTCAAATAGTATTAGAGAACTACAAATCTGCAGAGCTCCAATTGAAGAGGTGACTTGTCCTTGGCCCTAGTTGCAGTGTGAGCTCACTGGACACGAGACCCTGGCTGGTCCTTCATCCATCACTCTGCTTCTGAAGGTCTACTTCACATCTCATAACTCATGCCAATTTGTTAAAAGAGAAACTTTAAGCAAATAAAATTTAGAGTTTATGTGATCAGAGATGATTCATGAATAGAAAGTGCCCAGAACCAACAAAGGTTAGCAATAACTATCCAGCAATGTGGAGTGGGTAATAGTTAAAAAGAAATGACACACAGATAGCAGCCTGATTGGTTGGACCTTAGTATTTGTCTTATTTGGACACATCTGTCTGAGTAGTTTTCAGTCTGTGACTGGCTGAAAGCTTGACAGCTTTTGTTGGCCAAGGCTATAATACTTGTTTTAAGACTATACTTGGTTGCAGTTCACTGCCATACTAAGTTAGGTTATAGTTTGGTACACATGGATACACATAGCTTAAGGCCGCATTCAGTAAATTTATCACAATATATTGTCTTTGAATAATTTAAATTTATTTTTATTTTATGTGTATGAGCATTTTGCCTGCATGTATATAATGCAATGTGCAGTGCTTCAGAAGCCAGAACAGGGTGTTGGGTTCCCCTAGAACTGGGGTTAAGGACAGTTGTTAGCCACCCTGGGGTGTTGGGAACCGAACCTGGGTTCTCTGCAAAAGCAGCCAGTGACCTTAATTGTTGAGCCATCTCTCCAGTTCTTCTTTGAATAAATTTTTTAAGACACGGTCTCACGTAGCCCAGGCTGGTCTCAAACTCTCGACATAGCCTCTACCTTACACGCATGTGCCACTACACCCAGGTGGTATAAAATTGGTTAAAGGACATTAGTTACTTTTCCCATTGTTGTGACAAAATACACAACGAAAGCAACTTAAAGAGGAAGGTTTTATTTTGGCCCACAGTTCATCATGGTGGGAAAGGTGTGGCAAGAACAGCTCTAGCTGAAGTGTGAGGAATACTACCCGTGTGAAGTACCCATAGCCAGGAAGCAGAGAGCTGGATGCCAGTGCTACACTTACTTTCCCCTTTTTTATTTAGCCTGAAACCATAGGCCATAGAATAGCAATGCCCATACCAGGATGGGTCTTCCCACTTCAGACCACTCTGGAAAATGTCCTTACAACATGCCCTCATAAGTGTCTTCTAGTTGACTCTAAATTCCAAGTTGACAAGATTAACCATCACATAGTCATTGAGACAATGTATACATGGGAATGAAATATTTCTAAAGAAGCCTTACAGACTACCCTCCTGATAGCTTTGGGATTCCCTTTAAGAAGAGATTCCATTTGGAGATGTTTAGTATTCCTCTCCTGCATAACGTATACTTACTTGTAGTTCAAAGTTAGGATTCCATATGTTCTAGCAATGTTGCTATTTTAACAACATTTTAACAACAAAATGAGGGATACTGAGGCTGGAGAGATGGCTTAGCAGTTAAGAGCACTGGCTACTCTTGCAGAGGACCAGGGTTTGGTTCCCAGCACCCACACAGCATCTTACAACCAATTGTGACTCCAGTTCCAGGGGAATCCAACACCTTCTTCTGACCTCTTTGGGCTCCTGCACACTGCTATACAGAAACTCATATAGTCAAACACACATAACACATTAAGTTTGTGTGCACATGTGTATGGAGAGGCTGGAGATCAGCCTCTGGTGCATTTCCTCAGGTGTTGTCCACCTTGTTCTTTTGAAACAGTCTCTCATTTGCCTTGGAACGCATCCATTAGGCTAGGCTGACTGGCCAGGAAGCCCAGGGATCTGCCTATCTTTGCATCCTCAGGCAGAGATTACAAGTGTATGCCACCATGCCCACTGTTTTAGTGGTTCTGGGGAATGTAACTCAGGTCCTCCTGTTCGTGTGGCAGGAAGTTTACCAGCTGAGCTTCTCTCCAGTTGTTTTTTTTAAATTTTGAAACAGTCTTACTAAACTACTCAGACTAGCCTTGAACTCACTCTAGCCCAGGCAAGTCTTAAACTCTCTATCCTCTAGTTTCAGCCTCCTGAGTTGCTGGGATTATAGGCGCTGCTACAAGAAGAGGATGAGGAAATATTTTGATAAGTTAAATTCTTAACATCTAGATTCTCATGTTAATTAATAGAGTATATTTGAAAATATATATAATCATTCCAAAAATAATTTTATGTTACATCATTGTTTTAATACAGAATAGACTTTTCTGTTTTGTTTAGTTTGAGACAGGGTCTCCCTGTATCTTCAGCTGGCCTGGAACTCAGTGTATAGACCAGGCTAGCCTAGATCTTACAGAGGTCTGTCTGCTTCTGCCTCTTGTGTGCTGGGATTAAAGGCCTGTGCCACCACGCCCAGGTAGAATAGACTTTTGACATATTGTTCACAAAGGAAAAGAACTGAAAAAAAATCCCATTTTTAAAGTAATTTTTATGCTAGGAGTAGTGGCAAATACCTGTAAATTCAGTGCTTAGGAGGTCGAAGTGAAGGATCACAAGTTCAAGAGCATTCTTGGCTACATATTTAGTTCAAGGCCAGCCTGGGCTACATGAAACCCTATCTCAATATAAAAATAAATAAAATAAAGTGATGTTGACAGTATACCCTTGGCAGCCTGGGACTTAGCCGATACATAGCTACATCCTGGACACTGGGAACAGAGAGGAACTACAATACAATTCAGCTGTGTCCTAGTAGACTCACTCCATGACCTGGCAGATAGCAACATCAGAGAAGTCAAAAAGAAGCTTCTCCAATTTTTGTTGTCTTTTTCTCTTTCTTGCTTTTACTTTTTACTATTTTTAGTGTGGTTTTTGTTTTACTCTTTTTTAAACTTGTGTGCTTTCATTTTTTTATTATTCCTACTTTTATCTCATTTTTAAAATTTTGAGATAGGGTCTTCCCATGTAGTGCGGCTTAGCTAGAACTTACTAGTAGCTAAGACTAGCCCAAATTGGTGATGTTCCAGCCTCAGCCTCAGCCTCTACCTTTAATTTTATTACATAGTTTGTCTTTGTTTTATAGTCAAATATTTGACCCCTTGCTCTTTAGCTCCCTCTCATTTTTCTTTTTTCTTCTTTTTCTAGTTTTCCTGTTCCCTTCTTTATCTTTATTATTACTGCAAACTTTTGTTAATTGACCTTTATTCTGCTTTATTTTTGCCACTTTCTTTTGCCTAATGATTAGTTGTATAGAAATTATCTTTAAGCAATTTATAATGATACTATATCTGGTTTGTTTTGATGGTGTTGCTGGAAGGGTGATTTATTTTCCCCTCTTAAATGGAACTAGGGACTGAGTCCTCAAGAAAAGGCTTGTACTTAACATGTACAGCAGAATACATGAGGTCCAGTGGGCAGATGGGGAAGGCATGACTAGAAGAAAACCTCTCCACACCATATAGCAGACAGCGAGGCAAAATACAGACTAAAGGAAGCACACTGAAAACTGTAAGGGAACAGTGCCAAGTTATTTACAAAGGCCAGACTATCAGAATTATATATATATATAATGTTTTAAAAATGGGAATCTATGAATAGAAAAAAATAGGAACATATAGCTCTAGTAATAATAGTATTGTCAGTGTAGATTTTTCTGTACTTCCCATCTTAAAAGTAATCCTCTGCCAGGTGTGGGTAGTGCATGCCTTTAATCCCAGCACTCAGGGAAGGCAGAGGCAGGTGTATCTCTGTGAGTTCAGGGCTAACCTGGTATATGTAGTAAGTTCCAGGCCAGCTGAGACTACAGGGAGACCCTGTCTCAAAAAAACAAAAACAAAAACAAAAATTCCCTATATTAAAACTTTAAATAGTGGAACAAGCTACTATCTCTCTTTAGCATTAAATGTCTAACATTATTTTAATGATTGTAAGTGAAAAGCCTTTGTCTTTTTAAATTTTAGGGAATGAGTGTCGCTATACTGGGACCCACTTTTCAAGATCTGGCCACAAACGTAAACCGAAATATCAGCAGTCTTTCTTTGATATTTGTGGGCCGTGCGTCTGGATTTCTGTGTGGTAGTATGATTGGTGGAGTTCTTTTTGACTGTATAAATCGGTTTTTACTTTTAGGTAGGTAAACATCAACTTTTGCTTCTCTGTGCCTGTCAATGAATTTTTATGTAATTTTTATGATAGGAGTAGTGGCAGCTTGTCTGTAGATACGAAAAGCACAGCCTGCAGATGGCTGACAGCAGAACTGGGAAATGTGTGGGTGTCCTCCCTGGCAGCTGGGCTTCTACGGCTCCTGTTCTTACCTCAACAGCTGCATCTGTACTGAGCCCTCTGGAAACTTCCTTGTGTGTGTGCATGCACACTTGTGCACTTGTGCAATCTGAGCCACTGTAATTTAGACTCTACTCCAAGATCACGTACTGAGTTTCCATGACGCCCTGTTTATCTGGGGTATAGGGCAGGATTCCCAGGGCCATGGGAGTAGGAATTAAGTACTGCAACCTGGCCAGACTGTGGCCTCTGGATTGAATATGTTTTTGTCCTCCTGTTCCATGTCACTGATGAGCCCAGTCTGCTCTGCTCCACTCTGGAAAAGATGGCAAAGTATTTTTTCAATAGATTGACATAATTAAAGAAAATTTAGATTAATGTTATAAAACACAAAGTAATGAGAATGATTTATTGCTGGTGAATAAATAAATGATTCTTTTTTAAAGATTTATTTTTATCATTTTAACTTATGTATATGTGTGTGTGCATGTGTGTGTGTAGTTATCTGTGGAGGCCTAAGGAGTTGGGATGCCCCTGGGGCTAGAGTTACAGTTGGTTGTGAGTCATCTGGTGTGTGTGCTGGGAACTGAACTTGGGTCCTCTGAAAGAGCAGTAGGTGCTCTTAAACCACTGAGCCATCTCTGCAGTCCCTAAATGATTCTCCTTATTTTCAAAGTGAGTTAAAAGCATATAATTCTTGTTTTCCTCCATAGTCCCACAAGTAATTAATTTAGAAAAGTTTAACCAGGAACTACTATACTGATTACATTGTTAACTCATATCTAAAAATACTTAGTTTCTTAAATGCAAAATAGTAAATAAATATTTTTTTGATTTTTTTGAGACAGGGTCTCCCTGTAGCCCCAAACTGTCCTGGAACTCACTATGTAGACTAGGCTGGCCTTGAACACACAGAGATCCACCTGCCTCTGCCTCCCAAGTGCTGGGATTAAAGGCATGTGCCACCATGCCCTGCTAAATAAATAATTTTTGGCCTGTTTCTTATAAAATTTTGCTTGATAGTATAATTTATTTTGATTAGTAGTATTAGAATTTTATTTAGGCCATAGTAATTCTACTTTATGTACAAAACCCTTATAAAATGTATATGGTTTTACATGACCACTTTAGAATCTGCAGCGCTCATCTACTCATGATTACGCAGGTTCAGTTTAATATTAATTTTGCATTTGTGAAAGTTTTTGTGATCCTGAGGAATAGTTTTTATAGCTTATTTTCTTTTTCTTTTAAAAATTTTTATTTTATTATTATTATTATTATTCGATCTTTTTGATACAGGGTCTTCCTATAGTCCCAGCTGGCCTGGAACTCACAGAGATCTGCTTGCCTCTGCCTCCTGAGTGCTGGGATTAAAGGTGTGTGCCACCACACCTGACCTTTATTTATTATTTTTATTTTATGTGTATGCAATGCCCATAGAGGTCAGAAGAGAGCATTGGATTCTCCTGGAAGTGAAGTTACAGATGGCTGTTAGCCACCATGTGGGTGCTGGGAATTGAACCCAGGTCCTCTGCAAAAGCAGCCAGTGCTCTTAACTGCTGAGCCATCTCTCCACCCCCATATTTTCTTTTTTTGTTATGAAAGTTTATTTTTGAATGCTGGGGACCAACCCGGGTCTCAGCATGCTGGACAAGCATTCTGTGACTGAGCAATGTTCCCTGCTCCATGTCTAGCTGATTTTCTCACTTTCCCCCCCCCAGGAGTGTCAATGGTGGCCACCACAGTTGGTCTTTATCTCATCCCGTTCTGCAAGACAGCAGTCTTACTGATTGTCACCATGTCTGTCTTCGGGGCTTCGGTTGGCATTGTGGATACAGGTCTGTGAAGCCTTCCATGCCATCTGCAAGAGTGGGAGATTTCAATCAAAAAAGAAGAGCAGATGATTTTAAACTGTCCCTGAGATGCTTTTGAAATGACACGCCTTACTGAATTGTTTGTGGGGTCACTCAGTCATAACGTCCTTATAGCAGCTATGCTTTGTGCTGATTTGGGCATTGCTTGTTTTTAAATTTATTATTTTTATTTTATGTGTATGCATGTATTTCCTGCATGTAGGTAAGTGCACCCATGTTGTGCAATGCCTGTGGAGGACAGAAGAGGCTATTGGGTCCCTTGGAACTAGAGTTACAGTTGTTAAGCGGCCATGTGGGTGCTGGGATTCGAACCTGAGTCTTCTGCAAGAACAGTCAGTGTTCTTAACCACTGAGCCATCTCTCCAGCCCCCGGGCACTGCTTTTTGAACAACCAACTAGAAACCTGAACTTAATGATTTTGTTCTAGGAGTGATAAATTGATAGGATGGAAACAGGCAGGTCTCCCTTCTGTGGTTGACAGTGCAGGTGAACAGGCTTTTATTTGGGGGGCTGAATTTTATCACTGTAAAGTAAGAGGAATTGACACTTTAATAAGATAAAAACAAGTATGGGACCATTATTTGACTGTGAAAGCCTAAGCAGACATATGTGTTAAAATACAGTTTCCTGAGCTAAGAGAAACTGAGCTCTGTGCTACTTTTTCTCTCTCTTCAGCTAATTTTTCTTAGAAGTTCTGGTTCTCCAATGGCATAGCTTTTCCCTATTGAAAACCTACTAAATAATATACAAGATATTTATTTGCATGATATTATTTCTTAAATAATACACTATTTATTTACATTCTAGCCCTTCCTCTCTGTTCTAATGTTATCTGATAAATCATGGAATATTTTATACTTCATGCTTCATTTGGTTGCAATATTGCAGAGTGGAGTCACATGCCTATCTCAACATCTCTGATTAAAATAAATAGCCAAAGTCTTGATGCTTCCGGCCTTCAGCTTGTAGGTGCTAAGACAGAGTTGTGAAGATTCTGAAAGTTGTGCCTGTTTCATCTAACTGATAGGACAGTCCTGGAACATTCCAGTTCCTGATGGGATGTTCTCCACTGCTCATGCATAATATTCAAGTGGTTGTCAGTTCTTATTACAGAAAGCTTTGGTCATTTGACCTCTATTTGATGATAACATTTTGCTTAGTAAACACATATTTTCCAAACACTTACAAATGAATAAGCCTATAATAGTACTCTCCAGTGTGGGGTTAGCACTGCTTATAACAAGCCTGTGCTCTTATGGCTGGCTATAGAAAGCAGTGCTTTTCAGCTTGTAGAATTCCATATATGAAAAAGTATGATGCATAGTTTTCTGGACTTAATTCCTTAATCACAGAATCACTTGGGGCCAGTTGTTGGAGAACTTAGAACATTATATTAATCCTGCCATGTAATACAGACTCAGTTTCTTCATCACAGTAATGATCAGTGGGTTTGGTTTTATTTTTTCACTAATTTTCAATTTAACTTCAATCATTTTCTCCATCTTTCATTGATAGGTGCAAATGTCCTCATCTTGGCTCTTTGGGGGGACAAAGGAGGTCCCCATATGCAGGCCTTGCACTTCAGTTTTGCCTTGGGTGCTGTTGTAGCTCCTTTGGTGGCTAAACTGGCATGGGGCACAGCAGCCCCTGCTGAAAACCACACGGAGCCTGACTTTCATCCTCTAATGCTGAACGGATCCTCTGAAGCCACCTCAGACCCTCTGTTTGCAGTGCCTGATGACATGAATTTGCTGTGGGCTTATGCTTCCATCGGCACTTATATTTTAATAGTTTCTGTCTTTCTCTTGGCTCTGTTTTGCAAGAAACACTCAAGGCAGCAAAAATCCACAGCATCAGCCCAGCGATCTCGAAGAGCTAAATACCACAAGGCCCTGCTCTGCCTCCTCTTCCTGTTCTTCTTTTTCTACGTTGGCGCTGAGGTGACATACGGCTCTTACGTATTCTCATTTGCAACCACCCATGTTGGCATGGAGGAAAGTGAAGCAGCCGGGTTGAACTCCATCTTCTGGGGGACCTTTGCAGGCTGCAGGGGCCTGGCCATCTTCTTTGCAGCGTGTCTACAGCCTGGAACCATGATTGTGTTGAGCAACGTTGGCAGCCTGGTCTCATCTTTATTTCTGGTGCTTTTTGATAAGAACAAGCTTTGTCTCTGGATCGCAACTTCCGTATATGGAGCCTCGATGGCAACCACATTTCCTAGTGGAGTTTCTTGGATTGAGCAGTACACCAGCATAAGTGGGAAATCTGCAGCATTTTTTGTAATTGGTGCCTCTCTAGGAGACATGGCTATTCCTGCAGTAATTGGAATTCTTCAAGGAAAATATCCCGATTTGCCTGTAGTTCTGTACACCTGTTTGGGGTCCGCAGTATTCACTGCTGTCTTATTTCCTGTGATGTATAAATTAGCCACTTTGCCTCTGGAACACCAGCAAAAAAGAAAGAGAAAGACAGAGGACCAGAAAGTGTTGTCTACTAGTTCTAGGCTATGAGGGGGGAGATTAAAGGGGGAGATGCAGCAAGAATGGAATGAGAAAGATTTTGAAGTGTTTGAAATGAGTGATCCAGTGAGGCAGTCAGTAGTAGAAACATCTAGAAATATTTTGATGGAACCACAAATGAAGTCTCCAAACAATTCCCAACTACCAGTTCTCTGCAGTTAATAAAGGCATTCCCCTGAGACACAACTGGACAAAAGGGACAGGCAGAGAAGATGGATTATTTCACTACTTCACTAAATAAAGAATTCAATCAATCAGATATTGCAGATTTTTTGATATCTCTTGGCAGTCAAACTTTCTAGGTTTACTTATATCAAATGCTAAAAAGGTTTTGAAATGTTCTATAATTTCCAGTCTTCCATAAACTATCAAGTGGTTTCATATGTAAGATCTTGCTAGGAGACTCATCTTTGGCAAATGGGTAATTACATAATATTTAATAGTCTCCATCCTTCAGAGCATGTAAAGAAGGCATTTGAGGTTGAGAAATTGGGGAGTGTGGCACAGGTCAGTACCACAGAGGAGTGGAATGGATTTGTAGAGCACAAGATTCAGGCATCCGTATTGTCAAGGGTGTTGAGAAGAATCATTTCATAAAAGAGCTAACTAGTATTATTTAGAATTTTTTTTTTTTTTTTGGTTTTTTTGAGACAGGGTCTTCCTGTAGCCCCAGCGGGCCTGGAACCTGATATGTTGACCAGGCTGGCCTTGAACTCACAGAGATTCATCTGCTTCTGCCTCCCAGGTGCTGGGATTAAAAGCGTGTTAGAAGTTTTAATAACTGCTTTATCTGCTGAGTTGGATCAAAGAATGGCATTGACCGATTTTTTTTTTTTTTGGTTTTTTTGAGACAGGGTCTTCCTGTAGCCCCAGCGGGCCTGGAACCTGATATGTTGACCAGGCTGGCCTTGAACTCACAGAGATTCATCTGCTTCTGCCTCCCAGGTGCTGGGATTAAAAGCGTGTTAGAAGTTTTAATAACTGCTTTATCTGCTGAGTTGGATCAAAGAATGGCATTGACCGATTTTTGTCGGGAGCTGGAGGAACAACATTCATTACCAAAAAATATAATATAGCTCTACAAACAGTTGACTTAAGCAGGACATTCTGCTTGCACAAGTAACCTTGGGAAAGAATTTATGGCAAGGTTATCTTTCTCTTCCCCTTGCAAACAGTTCTCGGAAAAGTAAGTCATGCAGTAATCTCTTGGAACACCTGGCGGTCAGTCACGTTGCTGAATTGCTCAGTCCCCCTCCCATACCCATAAAAATGCTGTAACCTTTTGACCAACTTCTTCAACCCCTTCTAAATACAAACTGTATATAAGGAAAGCTTGCAGTTCAATAAAGCAGACCCTTGACAAGTGGACTTGCTTGGGCTCCGTCTCCTCTTTCTCACCCGTTTTTCCTTTCAGGGAGTGGTCCCCCTCGAGCCTTACCTGTACAGGGTCCCTGCAGGCAGGGGCAAGTGGTGCCTAAACGTGGGGCTCGAGGTACGGACCCTTGCCAGACAGAGACGGTTGAAGACAGACCCGGGTACGCGTTTGAGGATGGCCTCCGACAAAGTGAAAGGAACTGCACCGGATCACCGTCGTTTGATCTGCACTCTCACCGCTCATGAGGAGCTGCTGATCTGAGGTAAGTAAGTGGTCTCTGTCTCAAAAAATGGGCCAGCAACTGTCTAAGGAGGCTATTTTTATTAGGGACTTGAAGGCCTCCCTCAGAGAAAGAGAAGTCCGAGTTAAGAAAAAAGATCTTGTAAATTTTTTCGTGTTTGTGAGTGACCAGTGTCCTTGGTTTGTTATAGATGGTCCTGAAATCAACCCTAAAAAATGGGACTGAGTGGGACAGTGTTTAAATGAACTATTAAAGGATAAAGGCTCTGAGGCAGTTCCCATTCAGACTTTCAGCTATTGGACATTAGTCCGAGATCTTCTCAAAGACTCTCCTGAAAACAAAAGTAAAATTATTTCCCTAGCTGAGGATTTCATTAAGCCCCTTTCTCGGTCCGCCTCTGTTTCATCCATTAATAAGACAAACCTTCAAAAGGTAACTCAGAGTGTCGCTCATTAGGAGCAGACCTCGCCTTGCCCATCAGTCATGATCGATATGCCTCCCTCGAAGCCAACTGCTACAGGCGGGCCAACCCAACTTTATCCAACATTGCCCAAGGTAGAGAGAAAAGAAAAACCTTCTTCCAACTTAACCTTCCCAATATTTCAGAAACAAGGTTCCCCTCCTGAAGGATTAACCCCCTCTGAGGAGAGTGCACATGAAGAGGGTGAGGCTGCTTTGAAGCAGGTTCCTGCTCCCGCCCCTTCAGGGCTTAGTAGGCGCTCTACTATACCAACAGATGTTGAGTATAAGCGCCTCAAGTTTAAATCTCTTAAAGAATTAAATAATGCAGTTAAGAACTATGGCCCCAATGCCCCATTTACTGTATCCATGCTTGAGACCCTGTCTGGTGGCGGGTACTTTACACCAGGAGAATGGCTTTGGGTGGCTCAGATGGTCCTCTCTCGTGGACAGTTCTTATCCTGGAAAGCTGACTACCTTGATCGCTGTCAGACTATAGCCAGCAGAAACCAACGGGACCCTCGGGCCCCCGAAGCCACCTGGACTTTTGATAAGCTTGCTGGACAAGGCAAATATATCACCGAAGTCTGACAGCTTAAATTACCCACAAGGGTTTTAGCGCAGACCAAGGAGCTGCACTGGGGGCGTGGAGAAACATCCCAGCAAAAGGCAGCCTCATGACACCCTTAACTAAAATAGTTCAAGGCTCTCAAGAACCCTTTAGTGAGTTTGTGGGCAGGTTACAAGAGGTAGCTGAAAGAGTTTTGGGTCCTGAAGATGACAATGACAAGTTTATTAAACAACTTGCTTGTGAAAATGCTAATTCTGCTTGCAAATCTGTCCTTAAGGGACAAGCCAAAAATAAGTCCTTGAATGAATTAATCAGACTTTGTGCTGACGTAGACTCTTTTTCTCATAAGATTACTCAAGGCATAAATTTGGCAATTGGTGCTGCTCTTCAGACAACTAGAGGGCCCACCCTCCCTAAAAAATGTTTTAAGTGCGGACAACCTGGGCATTTTGCAAAAAATTGTACTGAAACTCAGAAAGTAGGAGGGACCCCTACTCCCCCTGACAATATGCCTAATACGGTCTGTCCTCATTGTAAAAAGGGAAGACATTGGGCTAGTCAATGTCGCTCTAAGATGGACATCTCCAGCAATCTTCTTCATCCCATCCAGAGAAACGGCTGGAGGGGCCCTCTTCAGGGGGCCCCGAAAACTATCCGCTTCCAGCCAGCCCTGGAGACTACCCACAACCCTGTCCTGAGCCTAACCAATCCCCCTCCCTCCAGCGAGCCACACCAGGAAGCACCTGACTGGACTTGTGTGCCTCCTCCGACACAATATTGAGCCCTGAGGATGGAACACAGGTTGTGGCCACCGGCGTATTTGGCCCCCCTCCTCCTCATATGTTTTTCCTTATTATAGGACGGGCCTCCTCTATAATTCAGGGCCTCACCATTTATCCTTCCATAGTTGACAATGATTACACAGGAGAAATACAAGTTTTAGCCAATTCAACATTAGGACCAGTCACTATCAAAAAGGGACAACGCACTGCACAAGCCCTTCCGCTCCCTTTAGATAGCCAATATCCATCCCTTAAAGAGTCCCGTGGTGCCCCCAAATCAGGCTCCTCTGATGCCTATTGGGTCCAGGCCATTACCCAAGACCGACCCACGCTAAAATTAAAATTGGATAATAAATGGTTCTCAGGTATTTTGGACACTGGGGCAGATGTTACTGTTCTCTCTAAAAACCACTGGCCTTCAAGTTAGCCTCTTCAACCCTCCATCACACATTTACAGGGCATAGGACAGTCAAGATATACCCTCCAAAGCTCTAAGATATTAACATGGTCAGACTCAGAAGGTCATTCAGGCACTGTTCAACCTTTTGTAGTTGAAACCCTCCCAGTAAATCTCTGGGGTCGAGATATACTAAATCAGTTGGGGGTAATTATGTGCAGCCCAAATGAGGTTGTCACTCAGCAAATGCTCCGCCAAGGATATCAACCAGGAAAAGGTCTGGGAAAATATAAACAGGGAATTATCCAACCAATTATTCCCTCTCCCAAGGATAATCGCCTCGGAATAGGCTACAAAAATTTTTCCTAAGGGCCATTGCACCCCCTGCACAGCAGGCAGACAAAATTATGTGGAAAAATGATAACCCTGTCTGGGTTGATCAATGGCCCCTCCCTACAGTTAAAGCCACTGCGACCTTGCAGTTAGTGCAGGAACAGCTGGCCGCTGGAAATATTGAACCCTCCACCTCGCCCTGGAATACACCCATCTTTGTAATTAAGAAAAAGTCTGGAAAATGGAGGCTTTTACAAGATCTTAGAGAAATTAATAAAACTATGGTTCCCATGGGAGCTTTGCAACCTGGCCTACCATCCCCATATCTATTCCCAAGGGATATTATAAAGTAATAATAGATATTAAGGATTGCTTTTTTTCTATTCCACTCCATCCAGAGGATTGCAAATGCTTTGCCTTCAGTTTACCCATTGTTAATTTCATTGGACCTATGCCTCGTTTTCAATGGAGGGTACTACCTCAAGGCATGGCTAATAGCCCCACTCTTTGCCAAAAATTTGTTGCTCAAATTGTTGATCCTTTCCAGCTCCAATACCCATCCCTTTATATTATCCATTACATGGATGATGTTCTCTTAGCAGGACCCGAGCTTAAACTAGTATACTCAGCTGCTCAGCAATTAATTCATGCCTTTCACCAACAGGGTCTCCAAGTCGCCCCAGATAAAATTCAACTAAATCCTCCCCAGCTCTTTTTGGGTTTCAAGCTTTTCCCTCATAAAATAGTTTCTCAAAAAATACAACTTCAGAAAAATTCCCTCCAAACACTTAATGATTTCCAACGCCTTTTAGGAGATATTAATTGGCTCCAGCCTTACTTAAAACTAACCACAGGAGAATTAAAACCACTCTTTGATATACTCAAGGGAAGTGCTGACCCCACCTCTCCCCGTCAATTTACACCAGAGGCTTCTAAGGCTCTTGCCCTAGTGGAGGAGGCCATTTCTCAACAAACTATTGATTATTTTTCTCCCACTAAGCAATTGCTTCTCATAGTTTTCGCCACCCCCCTTTTTCCCACTGCTGTCTTCTGGCAAGGAGACAATCCTCTTTATTGGGTACATCTACCTTCTACAACCAACAAGGTCCTTCCCACTTATCCTTCATTGGTAGTGAAAATTCTTCAGCTCGGCAGGGAACAATCCTGCAAACTGTTTGGGAAGGAACCAGATGTTATAATACCCCCCTACAGTCCTTCCCAGGTTTCCTGGCTAACAGACACCTCGATGAGTGCTCTATTAATAGTGTTACATTTCAGGGAAAATTAGATAATCATTACCCCCAAAATAAATTGGTCCAATTCTTTAACAAAAGCCCAGTCCCTGTTATATTTCCTAAAGTAACTAAAAGAGACCCCATACCTAAAGCACATTTGGTATTCACTGATGGCTCCTCCAATGGCCGAGCAGCCTTCATGATCAATGGACAAATAAGTCAAATATCTACACCCTTTAGCTCTGCACAATTAGTTGAGATCCAAG